CCTCGTTGTATATGGTTTCCAAAGTGCAATATGATCGAAAGACGCAACTGACGTTATCATACCGCACCGTGCACTTTAGTTAACGACACTTGCCTGCTTCAACGATATACAGATAGAATAACAATAACAATAATCGGCACATTTGCAGTTTCACCAATGTAAAGTTTCAATTTTAAACCGACAGGGAGCCAAAGGCGGAGAAGAGGGCGAACAACGTTAATTCTTACGTGGCTCTCGGCACTTGACAACCAGCTAACTGAGGGACGCGCCATCTTGATCCTCTGAGTGGCATCGCGGCCGCGGCCGGAGACGGGGCTTGCTGCTGCTACGCGCGCCCTCTCTACGGATGAACAGGATCAAGAATATGGTGCGCAGCGCCGCGCTGCGGGCCGATGCTCTCACCTCCTTATTTCTTTACAATTTTAACCGCGTCAGGGGTGTATGTACGTGTGTGTGGTGTATTTTGTTGATACCAAATTTAGAATAAATTTTATTGTATTATTATTAACATTCCAGTTGAATTGTTTACCGTTCATGATTATATTATTTGAAATTATTTTATCCCTTAAATGTAAACTGTTCTCGCAAAACTTTTAATAGTTAATATTCTTTTTATGTAATATAGATTTATTTACAACTAACTTATTTTGTGGGAAATTTTTGTATATTAGTTTTAACGAGGCCGATGTTTACAACTGAGAGGACTTGTTATGAATATAGTGTAATACCAGAAATGAAAAAAAAAAACATTTTAGGATATATCACATTCGAGTAAGCTAAAAACCAAAGGTGCCCTTCATAGAAAAATTACGTTTTGTTATATGATATTTCAAGTTGAATGATTTTTAATAAAGTTGTATGTAATAATTACGATACATTTGTTTTTAGTCGCGATAATGTTAGCATATTTAAATAAATTTCTCATGACTATTTCAAATTATATTTACCTAAATGCTTTTCTTAGTCATTTTTATAATGTTCGATCACTCGTTAATCGCGCTGGCACTCTAGTGTTGGTCTCGCGTTTCCTTTCTATCGATTATATTGAATTATTGCAATAATTATAAATTGTAGAGTAAATTCTATGCGTCAGGAGGAGTGCGCCCCTCGGTGTCGCTCTGTGAAGTGCAATGCGTGTGGGAGCGGTGGGGGAGGTGGGGGAGGTGTGGCGAGGTGGGGAGCGGTGGGGAGAGGTGGAGAGAGCCCTCGCACCCGTCACGTATCGTTGCGAGAATTTAGCCTTGGCCTTATGAGAGTTAAATAACTAAATGTAATCTCTATGTTAATTAAATAGTGAATAATGTGTACGGCGAGCCGCGCGCCACGCTCTATAGTGAAAACGATTATTCTATTCGCATGCTTGGACGAGCTTTTTGGTAATAATCTAATTTAAAAATTTAGTAGTTACTTTTATTGTGTAATCATTAGATGAATATTATAACTAGCTAAGGGTATTTATTGTAGACGATGAGCATAGTTACATTACTTTTAACGAAATCTATTCGTACATAATAATGAAATGTAATGACGTTAAATTTACCCAAATGTTAGTATGTAATGGAATGGAAGATTAATATATTTTTTATTTTTAGCTAGTTGACTATGTATGGAGATCTGTTTAGTTACTGAGTTACCTTCGCGTCACGGGGGGAGGGGGAGGCATGGGGTGTGACGCAAGGTACACGGCACGCGAGACGGCAGCAAACCAAAAATGAAATGTTCATGTTTGTATTATAGATTTAGTGAAGTATTCTGCTGATGTAAACATGTAAAAATTATATAAAAAAACGTAAAAAAAAAATCCCTGCTTAGTCTGTAATTATAAGGTTTCGGATATTCGGATTAAAAACTTGACTCGACGGAAATCAATGAGTTATTCACGCGATAGATGTCGTCAGAAAGACCAGTGAAATCCGCATGTGAATTCTTATGAAAAGTTTCTTAGTCAATATTTAATAAAAAAAAATATCGTCAATTTTTTGACTTAGCAAAATTTTATACATCGTTTATAGTGATGTGACTTTCACATTATACCGAGCGTCGTTGCGTATAGACCAAAGATAAACGATATACATAATTTTATTACTAACCTCAGACCGTACCAAACACGTATTATAAGGTGCACCTACTTTCGTAACGATTTTCCAGAATGTTCGTTATCTTCTGGCCCGTACCTAAACCTACACCAGTTCCAAGTACGTCAAACATCTGGTCTTAGACCATCGTTACCTACCAGCTGTGAAATGTGTGCAATTTTTATCTATTTCAGAACGGAAAGCCACAATTTAAACTATCAGAATGTCGGTTCCCTTCTTGAAAACCCTTGTCGATTTTAGTAATTAAGCTAAGTCAATGTTTACTTATTTAATTCGATTTAACGCTAATTCGTGTGTAAGTACTTGTGTAATAGTGTAGTAGTGATCTCCCAACTTACGGCGAGCGGCGTCCCATTCGAAAATACAACGAAACCTTGAACACAACTTAGTGGATTTTTTGTATTTCTAAATTCCCATTATCAACAATATCTTTAAAATTCAATCTAACATTAAATTCAATTTTCGAGCGCTACTTTTTAAACGCTGTTTTTATGTGAGTTTTTATTTAGGCGGGAAAGTAAGTCGGGCGCCGCCGCCGCCATGATTCCGTCCAACGACCGTAGATAGCGCGTAAGAGACGTCCAGTGGCTGCGGACACGGCTACGTCACCTATTGCGGGACTACTCGATACATATCATCGTAATATTAATGTATTATTAGAAGTAAAGAGCGGTTTCATAGAGACGTTTATTCTGTATCCTCGTCTTGTACTTGTAATGCAATCGGCTGCATGTCACGCTATCGTCGCTCTTTCTATTTCTACAAACGTTCCTCGCTTGGAAGCCGCGCGTTCTCCTTTCATACTGACCTTCGCTTGAAATCTGTCTGTGGATTAGTTTGCGATGTTAGTATCGATTGTTCTATGAGATATTGCTCGCGTCTCGAAAGTATGTATATATTGTGCGTATTTTGTTAACGTTTACCGACTGTGGCATCGAGTAGATTGTGGTGGGAGCGTGGTCGGTGTGTCAGAGTGGAGTCGGACGCGTGACATGACCCGCGTGCGCTGTGCGACGTGCGACAGGCCAGTGCGGGGGAGTGGCGTCGCCTTGCAAGTTAGGTTAAGTGAAGCGGTATCACACAAACACCGTGTATCGGAAACATATCAATTCTGTGCCCCTTAATAAATCTAGTTAAATTCTAATTTAGATACATATGGATAGAATAATGAAACAAAATAATCGTTCGGAGTATAAAATACCGGCTAAGTGTTGTTTTCGTAGACGGAGGTGGTAGTGTGTACTGTGTACTGTGTAATGTGTCGTGTTGCGTGCGTGTTGTGCGCGTCGGACGCGACCGAACCTCGCGCGCTTTCTGTTCACTTATTGCAATTACATTATTCAAACGTTATTTTTATTGTTAATTCTTAGACTAATTATTAATATGGCTTAATTACCAAAATAATTTTTAGCTGTTCGCTTCGGATTCAGTATTAATGTTCTTGTTTTGTCGGTGCGGAGAGACCGCGTGTCGCCTGTGACCTATTTGTATATCGAGCAAAGTAAACCATACAAAATATATAGTTAGTAATTAATTGTTAGATTTGTGTGACTTGAATTATTTAATGCTTTTAGAGCAATGGTAAAGTGTTATTGTGGTTTAAGAAAAAAAAACATAATGACATTGTAAAAATAGTGATAAATTTAGCTTAATTATCATTATTACAACTTTTATAGATGTTCATATTGATTTTTCTTTTCTTACTTCATGGAGTTTTGTGGCATTGGAGACGTCATTGTTAATTCAAATAAATCTGAGCTCATCCTCATTCGATTTTTATTCAACTGACAACCCTGAGTACTAAACCTGAGTCGTGATCTGAGCAATGTGGTACGCTTGTAGGCGTTATCTCAAACAGACTAACACAAATATAATGAAGACTTGAGGTGAGCTTAACGTTATTCGTATAAGTAATATTGACGTTATGTGTTCGGCGATTCGATTTGACTAGCCTAGATGCGAATGACCTAGTCTGAACACCGCCAAGCAATGCTCTACAGATCATACCTCCATTTTTACCTATCTTTGAAGCCTTTTGTCGTGTTATAATCTAATTATCTCTGCAAAAATGATATGTTTAATATATTGTCAATATTCTTGTAATATTAATAAACAATATTAGTACTAAATTAATGATAGATTTCTAGTTTAGATAATCGATTAGATATAATGATTGAGAGTTGAGCTTTGACCATTGCTTTGTAGGGAATGCTTCTGTACGTGCTGCGTGGAGGGCAGCGCCCGTCGACAGGTTGTTTTTGTTTATATTATACAGACAACAGAGGTTTTAATCTCTGTTTCAACTATATAATTAATTTATCGCAGTGTTGTATTTATGTTATTATTAGTTTTAAAGCATTATAGGGTCCAAAGATTGGGAATAAATTTATGTGACAAATTTATATTCTTGTTTCTTTATTTTTAAATTCCATAAGCTTAAGAAGTAAATAATAAAAATGTAGTAACGACACAAATAAAAAAAGCCTTTATTGGTTCGAAACTAATAATTTACATTTGGCACAAAAATACACACTTTTCACTTTCTTATGAAAACTAAAGCCTAAACATGCTTTTGAAGGAATCGTGCCAGCATTGCTAATTATTACCAAAGTATGTTTGACAGTCTTGAAAAGTTTACTATAAAAATCCTTGTTGTTTATGTCCTTAATTTTCTGTAAAAACACAAAAGAATTAAGCATAAAAATGACTTTAATACAATTAGATTAAATACCAAATATAGATTCGAAATTCTTAAAACCATTCAACAAACTTCAAAAGAAATAAAAAAAATCACGAAAATGGGAGGAGATAATGCTTGATACTGCTACGTGCTATCTTCACAAACGTTAAAATTAAATAGGTAAGTAAAAAAAAAATCTTAGGTAACAGGCGATTTATATCTGATCACAATATAAGATACAGTGCAGTGTGAACTTCTATATACAATCTTAAGAATCTATGTATCAATATTAAGAATGTTGTAATAGTGGAGGTTCCAAACGAGATCTTTCTTCTGGCGATGTATACGACTACCTATGTAATATCGGCGTTATGTAAGACTAGCTTACCCCCACGACTCCGTTAGCGTGGAATTAAAAAAACAAAACTGAGTAGCCTATGTGTTTTTCCAGACTATCCTCTACATCTATACCAAATTTCATCAAAATCCTTTCAGCCGTTAAGGCTACAAACTCTAACAAACATAAATCCATCCATCTAAACTTTCAAATTTATAATATAAGTAAGAAGTGAGATTAATAAGATCGTGTCTACGTAATGTACGATGCGCGAAGGAATTAGCCTCATGAGGCCTTCAGTTAAAGCGCGACGTCATGACGTCATGACGTCATGACGAAGGTTGACAATCATGAGAAGCAATGTTAGTGGACGGGTGAGTCATAGACAACCTTCTACGACCCAAGTTACTACTTAAATACATTAATTTCATTCAACAGTCTTCGTCTATAACTAAATTATCATCATCACCAGCTGAGGGGCGAGGGAGCTTAACCTTAGAGGTGACTGGGTCTCAGCCAACTACGCTGGCCCAGTGCGTGTTGGTTGACTTCACCTACATATATCTTTGAATTTCTTCGCAAATATGTGCAGGTTGTATCACCATGTTTTCCGTCACTGTAAGAACGTCGGATAAATTATGTATATGAAATTCGAAAATCACATTAGTACGTGACGGAATTCGAACCCAGGACCAGGACGACCCAGGATGCTCTCTTAAATTTCGATATTCACCCTGAAATAAAACACGTTAATGTTCGTAACCTAGAATTAAATGTCGTATTTAGTATACGAGCTAATTGTGAAAATGTGCTGAAAGGATTCTTAGTAACTATACAAACGGCACAAGGGAACGTGGAATTATTTAGACAGTTGGAAGTGAGTGTGACCCTGTTTTGCCCCGGGCTAATTAGTGCGAATAACATTAATACCGCATTAGCTCCCAACTTACGTAGTTTCGGGTTAATGTGATATCACTCTGACAGCAAAGGCGAGGCTGTTTGCGGGAAGGGGGAGGGAGAATGGTAAATTTATATTGGTTCGCGTTTGCAGTTTAATTTGCTAAATGGACGAGGTGCACGATCGATATAGGGACGTGCCGAGCGGTCTTCATACTTTTAAATTCAGTTATGAAATATTAAATGAAGTCATTTATAATTATAAAGAAGAAAGTTGATAGGACGACCATGACCATCGCTACCACTTCTGTTATTATATTTGTTAAATGGATATAATTTTTGAACGTTACTACTAATGAATATTTCTATATATTGTTTTAAAGCCACGGTTTTAACCGATCAGCATCGGAAACGAATACAATAAATATCGGATATCTATAACCGCAAAACAGTGAATACGTCGGCTGCGGTTGCATTAACATGGGTTTAGTTTCAGTCAATCGTACTGTAAATTAACTAATTTTCAGCAAATGAAGTTAAAGGGGCTGTTGTGAGGCTTTACTCAAATATAGATAACTACAAAGCTAGATCTAAAAGTAATTACAATAAAATACTAATAATTATTATGTAGTGTAGTAGAATAGATATTCTATGCATCACCATCACCAGCTCAATACATGTTCCGACCGAGGGGCTCCGAGATTACCCTAATAAGGAGGTGACTAGGCCATAGTCAACCACGCTGGCCAAGTGTAGGTTGGTTGACTTCACACATATCTTGGAATTTCTTCGCCGATATGTGCAGGTTGCATCGCGATGTTTTCCTTCACCGTAAGAATGTCGGGTAAATTATTTGGATATAAAAAGGCGAGATTCGAACCCAAGACCTATAGATTACAAGTCAAGTGGCCACCGACGCCCATCTTTTTCTCGCATTCTATGCATAAATTATACATTTGACTGTAACACGATTTGTCGCATTTATTCAACTAATTGCTTGAGGTTCAAATATTTAAAAAAGCCTGTAGCAATAAACTTGCGATTCGCATTTCAAAATGTGACTCAAGAAATGAGAGTCAAGGAGAAAATAAATATAATCGTATTTAATAGAAATTTTCTTAAACATACTTTACGGTACTTATAAAGTTTGAAATGAAAATACTTCTAAAAACTTACAGTCGGGGCCTTTTTATGTTTTCTCCGGCGTTTTCATGATTGCTTTGAGATTGCTGCATTTTATTAAATAAAATCCTGAAACAAAACAAAATTAAGATTAAATTTATAGCAATAGTGGAAAAAAAAATATAAAATAAGCAACAAAAACTCAATTAAAGTAGTTATATCCGAAATAAAAATTAAACATAATGGAAACTGCTTCCTTAAAACAGACTAAGCATCTATTTATTGTTGCCATTAAATAAAAAAATTATTTTCTCCGTAGCAAAACTGTAACAACATAGTGTATTGTCTGCGACAACGTGTTAGGAACCTCAGTTATGTGCCCCTTAAGAGCAAACTTTGCACAACTTTATCTAGTTTGCAAATTGCTTAGTTTCGGTCCTCTTAGTGCAACAGAATACATTACGTACTGGATAATTCAGATTCTAGTTATTATATAATTTAAACAAATACCTCTTTTCGCGATACTTTATAACAAATCCTATAATTATAATGTAGTATTGTAAAGAAATAATGCTCATAAACAAGCAGGATAGACAGAGAATACGGATTTCCTTTTACCATTTCGTAAACGAATGTTTTCATGAGATTTCGAAACCATTTTATGTTATACTAGCTATCGCCCGCAACTCCGTACGGATGGTATAAAAAAATTAATGCAAGTAGCCTATGTGTTCTTCCAGACTATGCTCTCCATCTACAAAATTTGGAATCTTCCAGATATTTTTGTTACTACACATAGACTACTACTTAGTAAATACGTACTAAGAAAGAAGGTGAAGGTTTTTTAGCATATGTGTTCTTCCAGACTATGCTCCACATCTACCAAAATATATCCAAATCCGTTCAGCCGTTTAAGCTTCAAACTAGCAAACATTCATAAGTACCCGTAAGGGTAAAGACTAATTTCAAAAGCTAGTCTGTAATCGGTCTAATATATTCAAACATGCAGTGTGTTTATCAAGCTGGGTAGTGATCATTCACCAATAGCGAACGCATCTCGTTTAATTTTCCCATCGCTTGTGGCAGATATGTACCAGACGCTCCGTTAGTGCGGCAACATCAAAGGGAGCCTAAACTCTCTCATCTATGTATATTAGGAACTTGATTGGAATGTCCCGAAAATGTCGGTATACTATGTTTATATATTTATTATAATGTACAAGGTACAGAGGAATTGTAATATGTTTTGTTTTTGTTTCATACGTATTCAGGTCATCGTCTACAGCGAATTTATTAGTCAATGATATACGTCTTTATCGGTATTTATAATTTGATCGGGAAAAAATCCAAGTATATAAAAATAAAGCAACAGCTGAATAACTTTAACTTGTAGTCACCCTTTATTCGAAATTTGAAAATTTTATCTGTTGGCGCAATTTCTTTAAAAAAGGTACAAACTTTTCCTTTACGTATTAATACAATGATGATAACGAAAGAAAGTATACAAAAGCGTTGTTCATTGTCACCGACAGAGCGCAAGGGTTTCAGACTAATTAATTACTTGCACACATTTCAAGTTCGGTGTCGCGGCGTCACAATGGCACCGCCCTAATTAACCCGAGTAAAAACGAATTGCTAGCGGTTAGCCGCCGAGCACAATTTACGTTCCCTTTATTACATCTCCTTTCATTATGATAATGGACTAAATCAAAACGAAACCTAAAAATGAAGAAGTTACATTTTTACTATAATTACTAAATTGCGAAAATTGGGGTATATGGATGGATGTTTGTTAGAGCTTGTAGCCTAAACGTCTGAACGGGTTTCAATGAAATTTGTCACAGATGTAGAGCATAGTCTCTACTTTATTTCACGGGAACGGAATCGCGGGCGAAAGCTAGTATATAAATAAAATAGAATAGCTAAAAACAAAATTAAAAACACATCTATCGGATTAAAAATAATTGCATTTTGCAGTCAAATATTAAATTAATAAATTCTAAGGTAATAGAAATTATTTACAACTAACAATCCACCCCAGCTTCGCTTGGGTGGCAAATAATATACGTCTCATATAATATCCTTCCCGATGATGTAAAATGTATCAGAGCAGAGATAAAGGAAGTTTCTAACGACAAAAGATTCTTTTTTGAATCAGTTCTGTAGTTTTAAAACCTGTTCAGTACAAAAATACAATTAAATCTTCTTGTTTTTACAAGCATTAATGTTTTTCTTATGAATAGTAAAACAGCAACTACAATCTAAGTTAAATACATAAAACAGTTTGAAACATGCAGAATACATCGCGGGAAATCTTAACAAGCTGGAAAATAAAGCTTAGATTGTCTGTAGACTTGAAGTTAGCC